AGCAGTAGCTCCCAGTGGGCAGGGTGACTCCCTCATTCTGCTTTTTCCCTTAGAGTCAATCATAGGTTCAAAGCCTTTCTCTGGCCAATCATAGTGGTGATTATGTAACCAGCATCCTATCTGAATTCTTTCAAAATTCTGTGTAAGCTTGCCAGTTAAGTTCTCAGGGCATCACCTGGGGGCTCCACTGGCGGACATCTGCATGTGGACATCTTCATTTTCTCTCTAAAGCTAATTGCTTTCCTAATTGTCTGTGATCAACCCCATCATTAGCTTTTCTTTGTTCCGTGATCACCTACACTTCCAGAGACTGGTTTGCAATATAGTTATGCCTCGCAAGACAAAATTAAGTCATTCCGTGAGTCGTATCACATTGTGAAAATTTCATCTTGTGAAGCACGGTACTAACGGTTGTGAGATTTAAAACAAACAAAAAGGAAAAAAATCCATATTGCGAAGCATGGCCATAGAAAAATTCGTCTCGTGAGTCACCAAAAAAAATGCAAACCGCTTTTGTCTTGTGAGTTTTTCGTTGTGTGAGGCATTCATCTTGCGAGGCATCACTGTAGTTAAAAATAACATATGTTATTTATAACATTATATATATATATATATAGTGAAAATCACATACAGTATATTTAGTGAAAATCCACTACTCTAGGTAGTCATGTACTAAACCATAAAACATCAACCGACAAAATCAAAATGCAAATCCTCACAACTCCCCTCCCCCAATAAAAGGATATAAACATATACAGTATGTGAAATTCATCCCAGCTCTTCAGACTTTTTTATTTTTCGCCTTTATCAACAGGTAAGGGCTCCCTTTTAATTTTAACAGGTTTATTTGGTTCTCTTTCTCCTTCAACAAAACTTAAGTCCAATACTTGATCTTTACCAAGTCCTTTTCCACATTCTTTTTCTTTAACAGCAGTTTAATCAAACAACTAACCAGTAACAAGATCTCATTAATGAAAGGAGTGGGAGAGGTTAGGCACAAGCTCATAGGAATTTAACGGTAAAACACCCAGCCCATGTTGGGTTCCCACATCTTCTTCCTGGCATGTTTCTGGACTTTGGATGGGAATTGGCTACTCCATGACTGATCCCAGGGGAGTTGAGACTTTTTTTGCCTCTCTGTTGTTGGCTTGTCGTTGAAATATTTCTCTTTCTTTGTTGTGTGCCTCCCTCTCCACCGTCTCTCCTCAGTATGGAGGGACCTCATTCTGTCAGTATAGAGGAACAGTCAAGTAATGGCAACACTCCTCAATAACAAAACTAAAAGCAGTTTGCTGAGACAGGTGGACTAAAATAGAAAGTTAGCTGTGGCTGTAAATGTTCTCTTAATTCATAAATTGTGCGATGGTACTGCATATATGTACCCAACAGGGAATATGCTCCCTCTTTCTAAGCCTTCCTGAGCTAAGACTAATAAGCACCCATACTAAAAAGCATATATTAAACCACAGCACAGTTCTCTTTCAATAAATGAATGCTGTGTTCAACAAAAAGTACTTGTGTGATACTCCATGTTTGAGAAAACAGATACATATTTTTAAATGAAATTGTATCTGTTTGCTACATTTAGCTTTTTACAGAGGACAGTCATGTTACGATGTGGCAAACAAAACAAAAAACTCATGATACTGAAGCACCTTAAAGAGTGAAATATCTGGTATTTTTGTGATGTATAGCCCTCTTCATAGGATTACTGTAATATATCTGATGATGTAAGCTATAGCCCACAAAAGTTTATGCCTAAACTTGTACGCCTTTAAGCTGCCACAAGACTCTATATCACTACAACTCTGTATGTACACCCACCTACCCCTGGATTGAATTCACCTCAAAGTAAACATCCATAAGATCATAATGTTAGAAAGTGCTATCTGCAAAAGCATTCAAGCAATGTTTCATTTTGAGGTGAAATTGGGAATCATGTATTGAACACAGTATTTATTTATTTTATTTATTTATATACTACCCATCTAACTAACGGTCACTCTGGGTGGTTTACAAACAATCACATGGCATGAAACAACATAATCAAAACAAAATTAAATTAAACAAATTAAACAAATATTAAACAGGTTAAAATTGGTGGTGATAGAAAAAAGGCTAATGCTTGGCAAATTCCTATAGCAATGAAACTAAAACACAATATTAAAACAATATACTGCACAATATACTGCACATATATATAAAATCTCAGACACACATATCTATGGACACATGATACCAGCATATATTAAATGTTATATTTGACTTATGCAATAGGAAATAAGTTCTAGTTTCTAATAAACTGTTATCAAACATCGCAAGCACACATACATGTGCTGCCTGCTGCTGCTTATGTACCTTCCCATAATGCTTAAAGCACTCTGTGGACAGTGCACAATTTCATTATACAGGCTACACATTACCCTCCAGCCCAAGGAAGCTGGGTAGTCAATTTATTGACCTTAGAAGGATTGAAAGCTGAGTCAACCTGGAGCCAGCTACCTGATTCTATTGGAACTGAACTCAGGTTATGAGCAGAGTCTTTGCTGCAATACTACTATTTAACTGCTATGCCAAGAGGTTCTGTATGTGTCTTATTCTAATATTGAGGATTCCATATCTAATGAATTAAATAGCTAAACAAAAAATACAACTGAGTAGTGTAACTTTGTATGAAGAACCACACTGGAAAAAGAGATGCTTTCATGTAAATGTGCAACACCTTTACTGGTCTTTGACCGTAATAAAGGATTGATTGATTGAATGTGCAACATCAGAAGAAACTTGGGTCTTGTTCTTTCTTCTGATGTTGCACTTCTGTGCTAGTCGGCTACACTTCCCTGATCTGGCCACTGCTGTTTATTATTTCAACAAGGTTGCACCCATGTGAAAGACTCTTTCATGACAAGCCTTGATATAATTTAGGACAAAAATTAAACTGCTTCCATCTTCATATTAGTTATACAGTGATAGAGCGAGAACAATAACAGAAGAAATAGCAAGGGAACGGTAGTTAATACCTCTATTAGTCTATTAAAAAATCACAAGCAAATGCTAGCTCTCAGCCTGTATGGGCCTTCAGCATGCTGGGCACCACTTATCTGTAGATATACAGAAAAAAAATACAAGAGTTCCACAAAATTATGACTAGATATCTATGCCAGGCTTCCCCCCCCCCCAACTTCAAGTGAATTTCAAAATAAGGGCTGCAAAGTCGTGTTGGTTTTAAATTCCACTTGTGGCAATGCTGACTGAGTTGTCCTAACCTCACCAGACTAGAAGCATGATACTAATAAGACCACCTGTAATTATTAAAGTAGTAATTGTCCAAATGGGAGTCATAACAAAACTCTCGTTTTAAGATGCCACCAGCAGAAACATCCCCTTCTTTTTTATAAATAAGGCTATTATAAGACCCCCACTAGCCTTATAGCACTAGTGGACAAATAAACTTAAAGGCTGATAAACTAACAAGCAAAAGTGAACTGCATATTTCCCCCTCTTTATTCAGAACAGATGCAAACACATGGCACGAAAATTCCTCAAGTAATCTCAACACAGCATTGCATACAATGATGACAACTATTAAACAACAGCAGCAATCATGCCAATATTAACCACTACATTTATGTCCAAAATTTCTCATTGGCAACTTTGCAGCAACTATTGTGTACCCTTAAATACCGGCGTTACAGGCTCTTCTCCCTTACAACTCTACAAGAAACACAGAGATTCCTACAGCTCTACCTAAGGTTTTGCTTTTATTATTATTATTA